ATATGAAGTTACAGCTTTAAGACCTAGTTATTAAGATAGGGTTTGAAACAACCAATAGATTAATACTAGGGACCTTGGAATGGCCCGGCAATACCCGAAAAACGGGTATCGTGATTTCGTTGTCAAAATGGCGACACATCTATTTCGCAAACACCTTCTGGGATGATTGTCTACCTTATTTTCCAGTTAATGTATAATGGCTGTGTTGCTTATGGTTGAAATGGCTAGAAAGACTTTGACATTGTATGCTTGTAATCAGTTTTTGTAGTGTTGCACAAGAACAATCATAAAAACTTATACTTACCTCAAGTAAATTACTAGAACTTAATTTATTTTCAATCAACTGCCAAAGTTTATTCTATCAATACATGTTGATTTGTGAAACACCTTTACCAACTTAAAATAAATGACACTATTTTTTTGGTCATGTCACGTCTATTTTCACTCACAGACTACCACAATGCTAATTACTAACTATATATCTATCAACAACAGAAGCGTTGTGGAGTTCAGTGAAATACAGTGACTATCATTTATTATTAATACACACTCACGAATAAGCAATTATAACCACAAATAGAGGATACTTATCACAATCACAACCTATTCATTATTTTATCATATAATTAACATATTAATAGCATGGACTTAAAACCAGCGGCATAGCTAGGGTTGGTGTCACCCGGTGCGGTATACTCATGGTGTCACCCCCCCCCCCCCTAAACTTCTATGATCGATTTTCATTATTTTATCATATAATTAACATATTAATAGCATGGACTTAAAACCCGCGGCATAGCTAGGGTTGGTGTCACCCGGTGCGGTATACTCATGGTGTCCCCCCCCCCCCCCCCTAAACTTCTATGATCGATTTTTTCTTGTTAAAATAAGTCCACAGTATAGCATCAACCTTGAATTTTTAATAAAGCACGCATTTGGATTGGTTACATTTGTGAAAAATATATGTGTGATCGGTTATTCTTTTATGAATCTCGATTTTTGCGAGCAATGTGTGCCCTGTAAATGTGCAATTTTTCAATCGGGTGTCACCCCTAAAATGGTGTCACCCGGTGCGGTCCGCACCCCCCGCACCTGCCTCGCTACGCCACTGCTTTAAACAACCGCCATGATTCCCTCTTCCATTCTACTCTCCTTCTCTTCTCTCATTGGTTCCTCTTCCCAAGTTCCATACTCTATAAATTATAAGTCCTAATTCTCACTTAACTCCCTTACCTCAACTTAGCTCTGTGACAGGTCATATTCAGACATTCATATGACATGGGACTAAAATGCATATATAGAAAATGGTAAAATAAAAAGTGTTATCGTCAGTTTTAACTAAATGAAACAAGAAATCCCTTTATTTGTTTATACTTATAAATGTTAAACAATTCGACAGAAAATTTGAAATTAATATCTAAAGCATATTTTTATTATTATGATTTTTGGGAAATTAAAAAAAAATATTTAAACAAAATTAATTAATTAATTTCAAATAAGTGACGAGTCAGCATATTTATACATTTTTTTTTAATGGGAAAATAATACTTTTTTTTTCCTAAATTTTTGCGTCATATTAACAAAAACTAACTTATATTTTGTGGCTTTATTTAGAAGTACTCTTATTTAACTATGTTCCCTGCAAATATTATATTTTTGTCTCATTTTATATTAAAGTTATAGGCGTTTAAAAAAAGGCGAAATGAGGGTCACAAAATGTGGAGGAAAAAGGGGTTTTGAGGTCCCTACTAAAAAATTCATAACTTTTTAACCACTTGAGCTAGAAAGTTGATCTTGATGTTTTTGTAATCTATTCTCCATGCTCTATATAGCTGAAGTATTTTTTATATTTTTAAAAATGTTTTGAAATTTTAATCAAAGTGCCTATTAATACCAAAATGTATGGTCGTAATTTAATTCTAAAGAAATGTATTATTTGTGCCGTGAATTATTTTGGGAAAACTCTAAGAGAGCTGCCATTAACATTCCATGGTCATATGCTTTTTCTTATCTTCAAGCTTTAATAAACTTTGGTATCCAGGGAGGAAATGTAGTTATCATACACATGTGCTCACTGCTTTAAAACTTAAAATAATAATGACATCATAATATTGACATTGTTGTAGGCATAGGGTGGTATGAAATTTTTTTTGCAGATTCTTTTGGAAAATTGGATTGGATGCTTAAGTGGTGGTTATCATGAAAATCATGACTGATGGAGAATTTACGAGAAAATAAATAGTAGACTCATTAATTCATCTAAAAGATGAAAAAAATTTCTTGATAATGAAAAGTTATTGAATACCATTGTTCAGCATCCAATTCTCTTTAGCCGATCTATCACACAACCTATTCAACAAAGAAAAACTGTGAACTCCATTTTTTCCCAATGCATATGCATTGTTTTTTACATTTTTAAGTAGACAAAAAGTTGAACATGGGGCACATAACTCTGTTGCAATTATTTGTCATTGGCGGGAAAAATGATTTAACCAAGTACCTTCAGTGGTGTGAGGATTCAACCAGTCACGACACATGTCACATGTAGTACCTACTGATAGTAGGCCTATTAACATTTACTCAAACAAATTTAAGTTGTTAGGATTGAATTAGGATTCAGATCAATGCAGCATAATTTAATATTAACCTATAGAATCATTTTGTGTCATCTGAACCAAGTGCAACCAGCAATGCAAAATTGCACAGAGTTAAGTTATTATTGCTTCCACTGCCCCAGTTTCAAAGCTTCTATTGGGGAGGGGAGCTCACCATGATATGCTTTGGGTAGAGCACAGTGCTTCCTTCCTAACAATGGCCTTAGTCAGGATGAGCATAGCCTAAGCCCTACTCATAATTCGGGATTAATGTAGCAACTTTATTTTATCCCTCAGACACGGGGCTAGTCCCGATGACCTGCGGTCTCCCCTTCCCTTGCGTAGTCTCAGTTGCAGGTTTTTACATGCTGCGTACCATGTTTTAGACATTTATTTAATAATCTGATAATTTTAGTTCAGTTCTTATCAGATGCTTGTTGCCTGTAGTTGGTGAAATGGCTTAATGTGCACGCGCTTAAAGAAACAACAAATAGCGCCCTCGTAAAAATTACACACAGCACTAAATTCACCCTTCAGATTCACTTTACAGTATCAAATTTAACTATTCTTAAATTCTTCTTTTTCTTTGTCTTGATTTATTAACCAGCATGAAGATTTAAGTTAGATGGGGCAGGCGAGCATGTAAAACTATTTTCATGTTATGACTTACTATTAGTATTAACTGTATTGAAAGATTAACTAATATTTGAACTGTTTCCCCCCAGGTATTCTAAATCACTGGCAGGATGGATTCTTATCCTGTTTCTGATCATGGGATGCCAGGACCAGGTCCACCAGGTCAACATTCCCACCCAGGCTCCAGCCAGAGTCCAGATCTGATGCATGATCAACATCTCCAACAGCTGCATCAGTCAATACAGCAACAGCAGCAGCAGCTTCATCAGCAGCTTGCATCTGGAAGCAGCAGCATCAGTGATTTAATTGGCATGCTTCCACAAACTGCAACACTTAACAGCGGCGTATCTATGGCTTCACCAGGTTCAGACAATTCTATGAATTATAACATGCCCTCTGGCCTGTCTTCCCACCATGTCAGCATGTCAGGTTAATAATCATGACACACATTTTGACGCTGACTCATCATCTAATGCATTGGTGGAAAAATAATTTTTTGTTGATCTTAATTTAAACCATTCTTTTGATTCATCCCAATTATACAAATTTTTAGTTTTGTTATTTAAAATATTTTTATTAATCAGTTAATTGAAAATATCATGTGTAAGACTCATGTAACAAAAATAATGATTATTGTTATAAAGGTCAGATTTACAAGTTAAACTTTTATAATTAAATTTTTAATTTCTCATTTTTATTAATTCTTATAAGACATGTCACAGAGTTTTAAATACTTAATTTTAATCTTTCTTTCAGATTACAGGTCCAGCAGTCATCTGCCTTTGTCATCCACTCCTATATATTCAAGGCATTCATCATCAAATTCTACACATGGGTCTTCTCATTCAACCCCTGGGCCATCGCACACATCTCACTCCCATCAAGGCTCTGCCGATGTATGCATTCTTTTTGAAATTTTTCTTTATCCTAATAAAAAAAAATTCAACTATTTGAAAAAAAAAAATTAAAATCATGCATTGTTTTTACAAAAAAAATTCTTTGAAGTTAGTTCATTGACTTTATAAAGTCATGTAAATTCTTCACCATGAATAAAATTATTCAACGACTTGAAATTTTTCATTAATACTAGCCTCATGATCGTGGGGAATCAAGCATATCTTCCATTGCGTATACCAGGCAAGGAGACAGTTACGTGTGCTCACTCTGTGGTAAAGTAAGTTGAAAAATATGTGATAACAGTATTTTTGAAAATTTAATACTAATGAACACAAATTCAGCAATTAAGTTTCTTCTTAAGAAAGTAATAAATCTGTACCTATACTTTAGGCTTGCACAAAATTTAACCATTTCTTAAACCTATTGACATTAAAAATTTCTTTTTGGCAGCTATTTTTATAAGACAAAAAAATTTTGCTTTACTATTTTATAACTTTTTAAAGTCAAAGTGAAACTTGTGTGTTTTCTCATCATAGGTTGTAGTTTCCAAAGCAGCTATTACAAGACACATTCAGCTGACACATGAAAAGAAAAAACCTTTTGAATGCAATATCTGCCACCGTCGCTTTGGTTATAAAAACATTTTGATGGAGCATCAGGTACGTGTGTAAAATGCTTCAAAGTTAATGTGTCAAGTTAAAATGTGTGAAGCGATTTGACGACAGAGTCATAATTAATATTAATTATTATTTATAATTAATTAATATTTGTGTCTCCATTGTATGTTACTTTTCTCTAAGCTCTTTCTGCCATTGTTTAAAAAAAAACAACACCTAACGAACTAATTATTAAAATATCTTATTTCCCCACCCTCAGAATATCCATTTTGGCATTAAGCCTTATGCCTGCACCCTGTGTGACAAGAGGTTTGCTGCACGCTCGAACCTCTTTCAGCATCGCCTCCTTCATATGAAACCCTTTTGCTGCTACATCTGTAACAAACGCTTCGATCGAGATGAGCAGTTGCAGAGACACCTTAAGCTTCACCCAACAGCCAATGTACTGTCTTGCAGGTAATGTGACCTCAATTACATTATCAATGAACAAAAAATGTTTGTTTGAAATCCAGAGACACTAAATGACAGACTGCCAAGTCTCACATTTCTCCATACGAGTTAAGTTGACATGTCTGTATGAAACATTCTATGCTATAGAGACCGACCGAATTTCGGCTTCGGCTTCGGTTTCGGCGCTGAAAGTGGCCATTTCATCACTTTCGGCCAAGTTTCGGTTTCGGCCGAAACTGAAAAGTTAACTTTCGGCTTAATTTCGGTTTCGGCCGAAAGAGAAAAGTTAACTTTCGGTTTTTCTTCGGTTTCGGCCGAAATTGACTTAGACTTTCGGCCAT